TACCAAATATCAGAAGGCATATTATTAAGAACTTTCAACAACTAAATGTATAGCACCTGTAACACGTAGAGAAAATAAAGACAGATGATGACATTCGACAATATTCCAAACAGAAGATTAGGAAGGAAGATCTAAAGAACCGATTCTCCTCTGCTATTTAAGTCATAACTGGAGGTGAGGAGAAGTAATTGATTTGTACATTTACCAAAAGCATTTGTGAGAAAACGAAACTCTGAGGTCGAGTATGTAATTTTGACTTGGCAGGACTAGCCTCATTTAAGCGCCGATAATCGCAACGCAAAGTGCATATCCATATACAATATATTTTGTTTCCCACTTTAATTTACATAAGAGAGGGTTTCCTTAATCATTGAATCGCGCATAAAATTCCAGTCGACGAAGCTGAAGTTCTTATTAATTGAACTCACTACCGCAACAGTATTTTTCTGTGACTAGCTAGCCATACAAATAGGGTGCACGCAGTTATGTTCGAACTTACTCTTCTGTAATAATGATCAACCAAACCAGCTCTCAAGCGATTATCCTAACCCGAGGCATCCATTATTTACTCAGCTTATATTAGTTTGGCACAAGTCCACGAATATAGAATAGATTTCTACGCATTTTGAATGGTCACTCGGATTAGTTAGCTAACAATTACTCCAAAGTTAAACGCACTAATATTTGCAAATCAAAGCTTACTTTTGATGAAAGTCTTCATATATGTAGTAGTATTAGTAATATTGATGAATTTCGAACATATGAAAATAAAGTAACAAAAAATCAATTTGGTGTGTGTTGATATATATATAAAACTTGAAAATTTTCCATCCCGTCTTGAATTAATCCCCAAAATTTGGTTTCGATCAGTTAATATATGTTTATTTTAGAGGGTGTGAAGGGCGGATCGACTAACGGAATTTGATATGTTTCCCTTTTATTTACAGCTGAGATTTTAATCATTGAAAATAAAGACCCAACAGATTTCGAATATAGGGGAGTTTTTTTGTTCTAACTTGCCAACGACCCGTTATTTTCTGGCCTCTTTCTGAAGTAATACCTGTTACTTCACGAAGAGGTGTTCTTTTTATGGTAACCGATTATGTAAGTCTATGTACAGGTATCTAACTAACCTCCACACTAAGGCAGCATGTGACACAAGGTTATATTTGAATGTGAAGGGGTTATTTACACATTAAGTTGGGTAAGGGCCTAAGAGAAAAAGTATCCAATCCCCGCGACAACTGTTACGCTGGTTTCGATATTACACCGACTCTGCCTCTTTTAGGGCAATGGGAAAGGTTCTGCTGGGATTGGAACCATTGGGATCAGGTGCCTTTTGCCATCTCAAAAGGGAGGCTATGTAAACAGCGGTTTTCTAACCGTAGATTAGGTTTTGAGCAAAGCTGAAATCGTGAATTAGAATCGAATTGACTACTCACTCGTAATTTATCTAGTAAGACAACTTGATATTACATCACATTGAAGTGCCCAAAATAGTGATTTTCAAAGCGTAGATTATATGTGGCACGAGGCCGGAAATATGAGACGCCTAGTGAGGATCGAACTCACTATTCAGTCATAATTTATATAGAGGGACAAGCTTGATAACCATTAAACGACGTAAAGCTTGCTGACCATTGATATTTATTGTATTAAAAAATACAATTATGGCACAAGGCCGAAAAGGGGAAAAAAGTTGAGGTTAACTTATACCTAGCTAATTCGATTCACGATCCATTCACTCGTTACAGTTTGCGCATTCACCACGAAAAAAAAAACTCGTTCGTCACCAATCAATCCTCCATACACCTGCATCCTCTCAAGGGGAACCTACAAAACGCACCCCGAGATTTAAAATTTTAAAGCTTGCTGACCATTATAGTTAAGCGAGTGTTGTTTAAATCAAGGTTAAATTGTTACATTATTACGTAATTTTTATATTAATACTTAATAGCTATGCAAAACTATGCAAAGTCTATATAGTACTGAAAACCAATCATCAGATGGAGAACGTTACCTGTAGAATTTGAGACGTTTCTATGTGATTCTTTTCTTTAAGCTGACAGACGTATGGTGCCAATGATAAACTGTTTAAGTCATTTTTGTCGTCTCGGTGATATTAAATTCTATTTCGGCTAAGCGAGAAACAAATGATTTGTTTGCTCGCCCGCTGTGGGTTGCTTACAGCTGAGTGCAAGAGAAGAGCCTGCTACTCACAAGTTAAAACTGTGGACTTGTTCTGAGCATGACAATCTCAATATTGATTTTTGAAGTACCGCTCTTATAGCAAAATAAATACGAATTATCTGAAAGTGTAAAATCTTCTCAACTGTGAATACGCTTTCGTTAAAGCCGAATTCATTATTTCCATTTTCAGTTGATTTTAAATGGAAAATTGCAAAGCATTTATAAAAAGTTCTTGGTTTTACATAAGGTCTGCTCTCCTAGATAAAAGGGAAAGTTGGGTAAATTTGTTACAAATAAAACAAAAAAATAGCTGAAGCACAAAAAATAATGAGAACAGAATGGCATTACATGAGAGGTTTGGGTGACTGGTAGATTCGTTTTCTACGTTGGTTCTGCCTCGCGAGCCCACTTCTGTCTCGTACCCATGCGTACCTCAAGATAAACTTCTAGTTCATCAGCAGGTTTAATAAAGAGCACAAGGGTAAAGGTAGAAAAAGTAATAAATACAAACTTGACATTAGTTTAGCCTGTCCCTTCAGTGTGTTGATGATCATAACATGTTATTGTCCTTTGCGGCTCTTAATAAATTCTATCTTTTTTATCTCTCCTAAATCTTACTCCCCATCCATTGACACAAGATTGCTATGTACGTCATGCGATGCTTTCCTGTTCGTTTTGCCTTTCAACATGACCTGTTTCCAAACCGCCTTGCCTCGTTATGTACCCTATATATTTCCGTTGTCTGCATCCTTCTGTTGGTAAGTCTAGGTGTTCTTTTTGTTCACATTTTCTATAAACTTTCATCGTTGCTTACATGTCCATGGTATCCGTAGCATCTTTCTCTAGGACCACATTTCTGTTGCTTCAAGGGTCTTCATCAACTGTGAGCGGATTGTTCAGAATTCACTGTAATACAACAGGACTGATTGCGTCTAACTTAATAAGCTTTAACATTAAAAGGACTTTTTACGAAACCATGATCGTCTACGCGCTGAAAAGACATGAAATCTTTAATCGATTTCACCCCAAGCAAGGCAGTAAATCCACTAAGACCCAACGTGTTACCGGGTGCGGAGAAATTAGGACCATAAACGTTACTAATGAGCGGTAAGAGAAAAGAGTGATCAGGAGGACAGTAGATAGCGATTGACATTGCAATTAAATATTTTCAGATTAAATTTGGCTGGAAAGCATGGAGCCGGAAGGGAGTTTCACAAGCCAGAACAGAAAGTCTAGTACTGCGCTTATATACCAAAAGTCTAGGCACTATAGCGAAAAGTTCACCCGAATAATTACCATGAAAGTATTTATAGAAAAGACACGGAGAGAATTCATTACGGCGGCGGGAAAGCGACGGAGGCCGAGCCGCCAGATCGTGACTGATAATATTGCTGATTATTTGGATTTTATCAAAGATCACACGGTAAATGGACGAATGGTAGAATTATAGATATGATTGACTCTGGTGGAAAAAATAGTCTCGCACCACACAGTGAACCAACTTTCTTGGTAGCTGACCATTAAGATAAATAGAAGGGGTCAGAAAGAGGTCCTAGTGAATGTATCCCATGAAGTGCATGGTCAATAAAAGAAACAGGGGGCAAGCTGTGAATAACAAACATGCTGTACCCATTGAAGACGCGAGCGATCATGACCCTCTACAACTTTCTACCAGATATAGCTCTGGGTAAGATTGATCTTTTTACTATCCTTCCAAGTTCCATGTTTTCCCAAACATATATACAAGTTCATTATATAGATTATTCGCTGATTTTTTTCTGTTCCTTGCTTTCAATATATCCTGTGAGTGTTAAACTCTCCAAGACTACCTCCCTCAGTATGTGTCAAATTCCAACATTCTCTTTACTTATATGTTCACTCCATGGATATCTCAGCTTCCTTGTGAAGGACCACCATTTCTGTTTTGTATCATGTCTCTTCATCATCTGCGAGGAGTATCTAACATTAATTGCCGTATGGGAAGACTGATATTACGTAACAGTTCATTGCTCTTTTATCTGAAATTTTTTAAAGAAATGTTCTTATTTCTTAATATTTTACTTAGCTTTTGGAAAGTAACTTCCGCTATCGCAATTCACCTTCGGATTTCAGTTCCGCACTTTCCGTCTGTTATTAAAACACTTCCTATATATAAAAAAAAGTGTGTACTTGATTTATTTTGAAAAAATTCTAATCCACAGGTTGAGCTGACAAGCATACATTTTCTTTTCTTATAATTGATGTTAAGACCCTTCTTCTTCCTTTCATTCGCGGCTTTCACTACTTTCCTTTCTGTATCTGCTATCAACACCGTGTCATCTACATATCTTGTTTTAAGTTTGTGGCCACCAGTAATGAATTCTGGTATAACTGAATTTTTTCAGTATTGATTCACTATAAAGTTTGATTAAGACCGATGAGAAGACACATCATTGCCTTAGGACCCTTTCTATTTCCTTGGATATTAAACTCATTAAATGGAGAGTTGCAGATTAATAAAATAATTTAACAGGAATATATATAACTTCTGTGTGAATAGATAAGAAACAAACAAAAAAAAACAAAGAAACATATGTATGGTCGTATGGAGGACCAGCTCTCAACAGGGTATGCTTGCTGAAGCTGTTTCTGTAGCAGTGGCTAGCCCTGTGTACAAACGCACAGAACAGACTGAAGGCAAGATGGACAGAGGAAAACAACGCATAACTTGTCTAGTGCACTTCAGAAAATGGTAGTCAGAACACGGTTTAGAAGAGATAAGAAAAAGTCATTTATTATGGACATACAAAGGATAGCAAATCTTGGTGAACCGTGGTCGCCAGTGATGATGAAAAAAAAGAGAGATAGATAAAAGAGAGATAGAAAAAAAGAGAGATAGAAAAAGAGATAGAAAAAAAGAGAGATAGAAAAAAAGAGAGATAGAAAAAAGAGAGAGATAGAAAAAAAGAGAGAGAAAAAAGAGAGAGATAGAAAAAAGAGATAGAAAAAGAGAGAGATAGAAAAAAAGAGAGATAGAAAAAAGTGAGATAGAAAAAAGAGAGATAGAAAAAAGAGAGAGAGAAAAAAGAGAGAGATAGAAAAAAGAGAGAGATAGAAAAAGAGAGAGATAGAAAAAAAGAGAGATAGAAAAAAGTGAGATAGAAAAAAGAGAGATAGAAAAAAGGGAGAAAGAAAAAGTGAGATAGAAAAAAAGAGAGAAATAGAAAAATCAAAAACAGATTAAAAAGAACTAGAAAAAAGAAATAGAAAAAATTGAAAAAGAAATAGAAAAAATTGAAAAAGAAATAGAAAAAATTGAAAAAGAAATAGAAAAAAAGAAAGAAAAAAGGAACTGTGGTCACCTGTGATGATGAAACCAAAAAACAGATAGAAACAAAAAATAAAGAAGAAAAGTGAGAGAAGAAAAAAGTGACAGAAAAAGAGGTAGAAAAAAAGAAATAGCAAAATAGAAATAAAAAATCAGAAACAGAAGAAAAATAGAAAAAGAAATCGAAAAAGAGAGAAAAAAGAAATAGAAAAATGAAATAGAAAAAAGAAAGACAAAAAGAAATAGAAAAAAGAAAAGAAAAAAGAAAAAAGAAAAGAAAAGGAAAAGAAAAGAAAAAAGAAAAAAAAAAAGAAAAAATCTCTCTAAAAGGAAAAAGAAAAAAGAAAAACGAAAAAAGATAAAGAAAACCGGAAAAGAAAAATGAAAATGCAAAAAAAAAAAGAAAAGAAAAAAAAAAAAAAAAAAATAATGCTTTATATATATATATATATATATATATATATATATATATATATAGAGACTCTTTGGCAAAATCGAATTGAGAAAAAAAAAGAAATGCTTTTCTTTATATATATATATATATATATATATATATATATATATATATATATTCCTTAAAAAAAAACTCATCAAGTTAGTAATTTTATTTATATCAGATGAAATATATTATTATTATGCTATTATCTCTTTGAACTGTATTGAACTGTTTGATTAGTTTTAAAAGAAATAATGTGATATAATGATTACTTAACATGAACATAGTTTATATTAAAATTAAATCGATAATACTCTCCTGGGTGGAGAGTATGATCTCATGTACAGATGATCTATGAGTGAATCCTGTTAAATGCTTTGTCTGTAACATTTTTCTAATTATACCTAAACCTCCAAGTTCAATTTCATTAACCTATATGTGTTCTTCTGCAGTTAGCGTTCTATATTATGTTTAATCATTTCACTTAAGCAACGAAATAAAACCATTAAGATACAATGTGTTACAAAGTTTGAAAGAAAAAGAAAAGCATTATTCGAGAGCAAGAAAAATGAAAGAGGAGAATGTTGATAAGTATTAACTTTGCATTTACATTTTTGAAAATCAAAATTGGCTGTAAAGCAAAATGCCGAAAAATGTTCCACAAGCAAGAAGTACTGGAAAAGAAAATATAAACAAAGAACTTACATTTATATCTATTATGTTTTTAGTAAGGTTCACCATGTAAAAGGGCCTGAGACCACTCGAGGTAGAGGATTACGTCAAGAAGTGGTTTAAGACGATAGGAAATTGACTCTAGACACGAACAGGTTAAGATTGTAATGATCAAAGAAACACCATCTTGGAAGTCTTTCATAAAGCAGTGGTTCACGGGAAGAATTCTTTTTTCAAAAAATAAACATTCCAGAAAAACAATTTCTCAAGGTCTTAAATATGAAAAATAAAAAGAAAGCAATGGTCAATGTTATTGCCAGAGCCTTTATATTTGTGAATTCTATCATAATATTAACTTCACTAAATCCTTCGATTCTGTACATAGGGGAAAGCATTCTTCTAGCATATGTAATCCCCACCCATGACACAGTAACTGCCATAACGATGATATCCAAAAATATAAAATATTTTATTAGATCCCCAGATGGAGACATTAACTTCTCCGACATCAAAGCAGGACTCCCTCCATGATAGCAGACACCATTGCATCTTTTACTAGTTGTTATCACCCTTGAATACGTATTGAGAATTTTTTGTTATCACACTTGATAACGTATTGAGAATTTTTTGTTATCACTCTTGAAGACATATTGAAAATTTTTTGTTATCACCCTTGAATACGTATTGAGAATTTTTCGTTATCACTCTTGAAGACATATTGAGAATTTTTTGTTATCACCCTTGAATACGTATTAAGAATTTTTTGTTATCACCCTTGAATAAGTATTGAGAATTTTTCGTTATCACTCTTGAATAAGTATTGAGAATTTTTTGTTATCACTCTTGAATACGTATTGAGAATTCTTTGTTATCACTCTTGAATAAGTATTGAGAATTTTCTGTTATCACTCTTGAATAAGTATTGAGAATTTTTTGTTATCACTCTTGAATACGTATTGAGAATTTTTTGTTATCACCCTTGAATAAGTATTGAGAATTTTTCGTTATTACTCTTGAATAAGTATTGAGAATTTTTTGTTAACACTCTTGAATAAGTATTGAGAATTTTTGTTATATCTTGAAAAATTATTTAAGATTTTTTTCAAGTATTGAGGAAATTCGTTTCAATTTTTTTAAACCACTTGGTCACCCTTTTTGAATAAAAAATTGATAGACTTGGTACGATTTTTCGACTTATCACTCTTGAATACGTATTGATAATTCTTTGTTATCACCCTAGAATACGTATTCAGCCACTGTTGGGACGATATTAATTTATAATTCCACTCCTTGGATATTAATTAAAACGCTATAGTCTAGGCTCTAATGAACGTTCAGCGAGAGCTATACCTGACATCACCTGGAAACAACATCCAACTAAATCACAGCTCTATAGACCAATCCCTGATATTTCTACCACCTTACACGATCACGGAACACTATTTGCAGGACACTGCTGGCGAGCAAAACGAATTCGCCAGTGATCTACTGTTTGGGACATCTAACCATGTAACAAGACAGGTTGCTTGCCACACCAATCATTACCTACATTGACCATCTACGCTATGACAGAGAATGAATACCTAATTACCTTTTGACCTAGATGCAGGACTGTGATAATTGGCGTGATAGACTCAGGAATGTCCGTGCTAACTCAACAATTTTCTTTTAAATATGTACCCGAGAAATTTCAACTTTTTTGGGGGGTGGGGTCTGATGTTAGTCACAACTGTCATTTCAGTTTTCCTTAAATTTTTTTCAATGCTTACATATTCCATTCATGGTAATATTATTTTTGAGAAAAAAATCTTTTGTCTCAAGTCCCATTTTCGTCAGAGAAGAAATTTTCCAAAATACAACGCAGGATTTTTATTACTCAACCAAGAACGAGGTAGTTGCATAGTTATTTGGTTGGTTGCTTGGTTGTCTTCGTTTAGTAACATATCAACATCTGCTATTCCCCATGTATACTGCGCCTTTCTCCATAATACGCACACCTAAAATTCTGCTGAAAGTGTGGACAAAATGTTTCTACTCACGCACAATAACCCCTTGTTTGGTTATGAAACCCTATTAATTATAGCTCACCAATTTAATTACGGCCAGCGTTTCTTACTCTCATTTAAAAATGATTTTAAATATACAATAATATTATTTTAATTTAATTTTATGATAAATCTTATTTTATTTCATGGCAATTTTTAAAGATTTTTGTAACTGTTCATAATACACGCCGTTGATTTTGATTATTTTTTTTTAGAAATATGCGTACTATACATGAGGAATTACAGTATTTAATGCCGAAATATATTTTGCTAGCAAATTTTTATTTTATTTTTTGTAGATAATAATAATTTAGTGATAAGTCTTACGAAATTCGCCCATACCTGGAGGAGATGTGTATTCATACCGTTCCTAAGGTTATTTAAGAGTAAATAAAAATAATGAACACAACGAAAATTGGAATTTGGCTATACGATTAACAATTCCGAGCCATTAACCATTTTATTGCACACACATCCAAGCTTACAGCTCCTAGTATCCCGAAACGGTTGAGGAGGTTGTGATTGTAGTAAGCAGAATCGCCCTCTTGGATGTCTCATTTGGTTGAACTAAAAGCTGTAGTTCGTCTGAACATCTTCAATGGAAATAATATGGTAATATTGATACGTATGTGATATTTGTTCTGTGGGGAAGTTTCAAAGTTGAAAATAATGCCTTCCTTTGTCAAAGACCACTTTGTTAACTAACTTGAACTCTGAACGGCTTCAAAGTAAGGGTTGAGGAATTTCATAACATATATATATATATATATATATATATATATATATATATATATATATATATATATGTTGATTCAACAGTAAAAGGTTAAAATGAAATAAAAAAGAAAATCAATAATGCAAATATATCATATATTAAGCAGTAAGTACAACAGAAGAGTTCAGCACGACTATTTAGTTGTGTCAGCAGACCCAACGTTCAATATATTTCGACTGTTCCCCATGGCCTCCTCTACTACTAATCTTATAGTAGACGGAAGAGTTCAACATAGACCCTTTAGAGGAAGGTCAATTTGAATATATATATATATATATACATATATATATATATATATATATATATGGTTCAGTCAAAAATTTCCCCAATCTAACTTTTGAAAGGTTATGTCAAGATTTGGTTGATTTTGTTTAGCGGCATTTCAAAAAATATTCTACGTTATTAAATATTTTCACAGTTTGACTTCAAATACGGATAAAGTGCTGAAAAAAGGCATTTTGCTATATAATTATTCTTGGTCATTCTACTATAAATTGTGTTACTGGTCATTTTTTTAAAATATACTGTTGTTAATTTTAATATAATATAGGTAGTTTTAGTAATTTTATATATATATATTGCTGGTATTTTTATTATAAAATCTATTTTTATACTATCATATTGTTTTGGGATTCAGTATTTGTCTATAGATGTTTTATCCTGTTTTATTTCATGCACCTGACTGACTTTGTAAAGAATTATGTAAAAAGTTAATCAGATACTGTCCAAAAGTTATTAAGGAACATTCATCCCAATAGAGGTTCAAATCAAGGAGACTCATTGAGAGTAAAAATATTCGTCATGACTGGAGATAAAATACAAGACGAGAGATTTAGTAATGTGTCTATTAATCTCATGGGATTCAAAGAACGGGCGATTAGCAAAATACATCTAGGACTGTATCAACAGGGATAACTTTATATTTCCGACGAGATGCTAAAACTAGAAAGACTATTTTATAAGAGTATCAGTATTTTGAGCAATTAATTAAAAGCAAAGTATTAAAAAACCGGGACATTTCATTGAAAACAAAGTAAATAGGACTTACATAGTGTTATAAAATAAAATAAGACATATCTCGGCTGATTTACAGGCAAATACTCAAGAGCGAGAACCGGAAGTGAACGGGACAAAGCCCCGTCACAAAATGACCATTATCCTTCATCACAAATGTTTCCGACACACGTGTTGCGGTCGAAAAATAAAATAATATTTAAAGTGCTCTATTTTTCGTCCAATAAAAATGCTTCCCTCCTAATTATACTCGCTTCGTTTCTCGAGCCTGTTAAGCCATAAAAAACGCTATAAAAGGGGTCACAGGGAAGTTCAGCGGCCAGTCAACAGGTGGCCACAAGAGAGGAGACCGGTCATGTTTAGCAGCTGTCAGCAAGAGAGCGTCAACCACCGTCAACATGTGAAACTACTATGAGAGATCGACCTAGATCCGAAAGCCGGCTTATGAACTTTACCACAAAGGTAGCTGTCCTAAACCCTTACGTTCCTGTTGAAATAAACCACGTAAATCTATTTCTACTGTTGTCGTATTTCTTTCTTGCAACCATACGCTTGTCTATAACAATAGCGTAACCTCCATTTACATGCAAACAACAATTAATGTTTGATATCTTATTAAATGCTAATCAAAGATTACTTTGTTCGAATATTTCAAATGCTAACATGAACAAGACATTTTGCAAAATCAAATGAGAAATCAACTCGTATTCCATAATGCACCAGTTTTTGTGCCTCAAATATTCGGAACATGCATAGAATGCAGGGCAAAAGTTTGGGGAAAGCCTGTATTTCTTTAAAAAGATTTCCTTAAAATGAGATATTTCTGTATTTTTTAAGTAAAAGATAAAAATATACCTACCCACAATGCATTTTCTTTTATTTTTCGGTTTTTCGCCATGCTCCTCTTACTACCAAAAATTTCAAATTTGGATTAGTCTTTTTGGTGGTTTTATTGAAGAAAACAAAATATGATGCTGTTGTATGATAATGTTTTTTATTGTTTATTGCTTAATTTTGACAAAATAAATGCAAATAAAATATAGTTACTGAAATTCAAACATATCTCATTTAAGTCCTTTTTTTAAAGAAATGCAAGTGAAGCCATCTTTTGTCCCTTAGTTTTTTGGGGGGTTTTTATGGGGGTAGGTTTTTTTTTATCCAAATTCAAATAAACTTACATTGATCGTCGGGTTGCTATGATTTGCAACTGACATCTATGGCATTCCTTATGGGAATGTGAAGTTTTAAACTATTCCTTTGTTTAGTTATTCATACACAATAAGATTTTGTTCAAATTCTCTCACCATACAGACACTCCTTAGGTGACCTATCATCAGTCATCCTGATCAAATAATCAGGACATCGTAGCGAGTGATGGCGTAGAGAAGTCTATACTGGTAAACTAACTTCGTTCGAGAATATCAACGTCAATGACTTATATTTTCGACCTAATGCTCAGTATCCGACGGAGACATTCACCGCAGGTTTTTCATGTGTCTTCGGTACAACGATGACATAACAGATACACATATAACGGCTGTCGACCCGTTAAATGAGTATGACTAACGCTGAAACGTTTGGTGAAAGTTTTTAATTCTGGAGAGAATGTACGCATGGTGGAAATCGAATTGTGACCGAGAACGACCAACTCTAAAACACATAACTCCCAAACGAACAATATGACCCTGGTTTCCATGTTGACTGTGCATAAAATGGCTCAAAAGACCTGCAAGTCTAATTATGCATACATACATATTGATGATTACCACATAAGCTCAGCTTCACTTGTACAACCACTCTTACATATATTGCAAAGGTTGTATGTATTGCCTGTGTAAATCATGTGTTGTTTGAGTCCTATCAAGACAGCACATATCGCCACGTGTCTTGTGTAGAGACATATGTACATATACATGGTACACGAATCTGCTTTACATGTAGCATCCTCTTCATCCCTTTAATCTGATGAAGATTAAAGGGATGAAGATGAAAACGCTTGAAGATGAAAAAAAGATATATATATATATATATATAAAATTTCGCTTGAAGATGAAACGGGACTAAACACCACAATTCAACTTAATTTTAATAATTATTTGGATGGTTTCGGCTCTCGTTTTTGAAACATGCCAACTCTTATGTAGCGAAATTCAATATATATATATATATATATATATATATATATATATATATATATATATATATATATAAAAGCACATACGTGGTTAGAACGTTCGCATTCTGACCAGGAGACAAGGGTTCAAATTAGTTAGAAAGTAGAATTCCTGATGTTATCGGAATGGACGTGTCGATAGCTGTGCGATCACGAAGTCACAGTTCTGAGGGTGATAGATGATATGGTCTTTCCCAAAAACAATTGGCACTTAGGTCTGCTCAAATAATTGTAGTATAAACCACAATAAAAATAAAACAAATGCACCTGACAAGCGTCTGCAATAGAGATCGACTAGCCGCCATAGTAGAAGGCTATCCTCGAATACGTATGGTCAGCTACACCACCCAAATTTATATATATTGAGTTGTATTATTAGATTCATTAGATGAATGAACAAATGTCTCTTTAATGGCATTTTCAGTGTGTTATATATATATATATATATATATATATATATATATATATATATATATATATATATATAATATATATATATATATATATATATGGTTTAATATGGATATATTTATATGTATAATAAATTAATTTTCATGGTTTAAGATTTACTATTTGAAATGCACAAATGAATTTCAAAATTTTTTAGTGAAAACCCATCAATGAATAATTAAAAACGTTTTTATTTCTGACAGAATAATTAAATATAAAAATCAGTCACGTAATAATATTATTGAAAATGTGAGCTTAGTCATCTATTATAAAAAAATACTAATAATACTAAGTCAAAAATAACAAAAACTATTAAGTTAAAGCACAATAATATACGAATTCCACTTCCAGTTAGATGACATCCATTTTAATATTTCATCCAAGATATATTGGTCAAATGACTAGATTGCTTTCCTATCGACGAACGTGTATGCATCAGACTAAAGTGCCTTAAAAGCTAATATTGATCAACACAGCACACAAGACTAACATACTTTTCTCAGTATATTAGTGGATAACACTACGATATTTTATACTGATGAAAAGGTTTCGATCCGAACCATTATCCAGAATCTTCTCTAAAAAAGATATGCGCCTTCAGATTTCCAAACAGGGACGACAATTTTATAAATTAATATTTCATAGTAGATTGAGCGTTTACTCAAGCTTGATTATCCATTAAAATAACATTTAAAGTGAGATTGAATATATATATATATATATATATATATATATATATATATATATATATATTTCATGTATATTGGGGCAATATATGTGTGTGTGTGTGTATTATGTATTACATGAATCATTCATACAAAAAACAAATTAGTGAAGTTAATGATACAAATTGCGAGCATACATCTTCGCAAACAAATTTATTAAAATATAAGGTCTTTTTTTCATATTACTTTCATCTTTTCATACAGACATCATCAGGCATGGAAAAGTACTTGCAAAATAAGACCTTATACAAGTTGAATTTATAAAAAACAGGGATCACAACATTCATCGAGAAGTTCGTGGAATAATGTAATTTTAATAAATTTGTTTGCGAAGATGTATTCTCGCCATTTATACCATTAACTTCACTAATCTGTTTGTATATGAATGATTCATGTAATATAAATTGAACTGCACCACATATTTGATATATTATATATATATATATATATATATATATATATAGGAAACTTAAATGATACATATGACAAATTCATATCCTCTCTCCCCAATTCATTTCTTCACTTCGTTAACTTTGCGTATACTTGATAAGGTCCGTAAAAAACGTGTGAATTTCTTTTCATTTTTCATTTCAGCTTTTGGAAATAAAGTCTGATGATCCAGAACCCTGTTAAAGGGGTTATGGTGAAATAGCTTATTACATGGAATCTTAACGTGGTCTGTCTTTTATTCAAAATTAATATATATATATATATATATATATATATATATATATATATATATATATTACCTATATATATATATATATATTTTGGTGTTAAAATATGTATATATTCGAAAACTATTCCATGGTTGGAAGGCTGAGGTTCTAAATACTTCAGATTGCTTCAGATCTAAACAAAGAGGGGCATATTTGAAAACCAAACTCCAAATCATTATATATATATATATATATATATATATATATATATATATATATATATATATATATATATAAAGTGAAATTATAAGTCAACATTTAAATTAATCAAATTTTTTGAGATGCAATCGTCAGACTACTGTGGCCTGACGATTGCATCTAGCATTAAACAGACTGTGTTGAATTTATGTTCACTTTTATATTTACACTCGCACTTTATCCCATAAATATAGCACATCTTGTGACTATATTTCTTCATATATATATATATATATGTGTGTGTGTAATTTGGTTCCCATTTTGTCTGCTACGACAGTTTTACAAATATGTATATAGAGGTGAACACTTTTAACAAATACGAGTGAGTTTGTGTGTGTATATATATATTTGTGTGTGTGTTTACATGTTCAACTAATTGTGTTTAAATATGACTCATGTTTTCAATTTATCTTAAATCGATTCTTGTGTCCATATTGCTATCCTAATTAAATTAGTTTCATTTCACAAAAATTGTTTGGAGAATATCTTGAATTTCGTTTTTCACTTGAAATTGTTCCTGATAGGAATCATCTTGTGGCAAGATATTCGAGTGCAAAAAATTTCTTCCTGAATGCCGCCATAGTCAAAAAGAAAAGTCAGTAACATCGAGACTATTCAAGTAACGTCGGGCAGATTTGCTTCACCCTTTCTTTTAGGTGCTCAATGTGACTCTCTGTGAGAAGGAAACAAACTATTCTTGCCTAAGTATATTTACGCTAACATTTCATTAACAGACATACCATATATATATATATATATATAAAAATTCGAGAACAGTAAGATATATAATCCGGTGTTCTTATAGATATTTTTATTTTTACAAAATAATGCTCAATGTAAATTTAGAGAGCATTAATATCATAAATTATTTTACAAAAAAAGTGATGGTTAGAACTGTGTAGCGAAAACAAAACATATTTTAAATCAGTTAATTTATAATATATATATATATATATATATATATATATATATATATATATATACATATATATATATATTATTTAATGAAACATGCATCTATATATATATATATATAGATAGATAGATAGATAGATAGATAGATAGATAGATAGATGCATATTTCATTAAATAATATAGACAAATTTTGTCTCTTTATTTTATGCAAATTCTTTTCATATTGTCTGATAAGATTAATAACATTATCATTAATAAAAAAAAGAAAATCACCATATTGATACATATTTTTTAATTCTATCTAAGCTTTCGGCTTACATAAGTCATTATCAAAGATGACAATTACATTACAATATATTAAAAAATACACGGACAAAACAATAATGATAGTCTGTTTTTGTTTGCATCGAAGATTTCCAAGCAACGACAAACTCGTGCATACATATAATTTAATATTGGGATATGAATGCAAAAAATAGTGTGTGGGTAAGAAAATAAAATAGAAGAAAAATAAAAGTAAAAAGTCCGTTAAAATATAAATGATCAAGCAGTCCAAGGCAGGCGACGCATATGAGGATATTAAAGAAGAAATGAGGGAAAAGGGAGAAAAAGGAAATGACAGAAGGAAAAGAGGAAGAAAAGGAAATATAGATAGAATAAAACGTAGAATAAGTATAGATATAAAGTTAATATTGAGTTAATATGAAATAAATATAAAACAGAAATAAGATGAGGAAAACTAAAAACATATGGATATAACCCAGAGGGATGAGTTTAGTTAATTGACACGGTGTTTTCAAAAAACTATGGAAGCAACATTATATTGTAGAGTAAATCAACGTGTAATATTATTAGCAGTATAATCAAATATTGGGGGATAAATGCAGAATTATAGAGTGTGGTTAAATAAATTATATAAGATAAATAAAAATGGTAAGGCTGAACTATAGAAAGATCCGTTAAATTTTTGGGTGTTAATTGTCAAAGGGGGCAACTTAGTATAGATAAAAAATGGGGAGAAGAAAGATACTTATATTAAAAGTAGAATAAATTTAATATGGATAAGAAGTTGAAAAGGAGTTAATATAAATAAAAATAAGAAATTAAGACGGGAAAGGTTATAAAAATATAAATATGGAGATGTGGGAATAGAGAGAAGTTGTATATGAGTGTGGATGGAATAAAATTAAATTAAAAAAAAAAAAAAAAATAGGTAGTACGGTTAATTTTGAGAAATGCTAGATTAATATGCTAACCAGAAACGAAATATTGACGTTTTTCCTATGAATGCATGTGGTCAGAAAATCACTTCGTTTGTTAAGCAGTTTGGGGTTATCATCATGTTTAAGAATTATATGTTTTTTTTTTCTAGAGGTATAGGTTACATACCCCCTTGCCACTGAAGAGTTTATAGCGGTGTTGCTCTACATTGAGCAATTTCTATTAAAAAAAACTGTATAGGGACGTAATCACACGCATATATGTTTGTCATATCTGTTTATATATATATATATATATATATATATATATATATATATATATATATATATATATATATATATATACATATATATACATATATATACATACACATATATATACATGCATATATATACACACATATATATATATACACACATATATATTCCTCTAATTGAGCACTGTCCGTCTTTGTTTATTCACAGAGCAATTACGTAAAAATTAATAATATTAATTATGAACACGGTCACAATGTGCTATCTGTATTTGGGAATGAAAACAGTCCTGTTGCTATAAAAACAAATCTATCTATTAAGACAAACAAAAAATTCCTTGATAATAGCGAAAAGATTGTTCAGTTATTATGTGAAAAAAAATCTCTTGTATTCATGCCAGGAAAATATAATAGAAAAGCTTAGCCACCGTGCCTTGTTTTACTTTCAGCATTTGGTGTATATTTGGTAGCAACCATTAATTTATACATGTTTTGTTGAAGATGACAGACATGTGATAATTTGTAAGTTCATTTATATTTTAAAATATAGTTTTACAAGCTTTCTTTTCTTGAAAATCTGTGTATAGGAACTGTCCCTAGTCTTTATTGTCGAGAACGCCTTGTATTTATAATCTATGTTCAAGGGTGTTTTCAATTTTGATAGTAAAAAGAATTGCCAATATATTTTACCCATTTATTTTTACCATTTATCCCATACGATGTTGTGCGAAAGTTGTTTTTGCTCAGTTTCCAAGCACAGCCCCGAAAAATATTCTACGCTTAGTACTTATTATTTATTCATTTTTTTCTTTCCCAACCTCATTGCTGAGGGTAGGTGACCATGAAGAATTGTTACGTTTTTGCAATGTCTTTCGCCTAAATCAGATGCCAAACACGACTAGCGGTACCAATCTACCCTGCTATTTGACACTTACCTGAGGGAGATATGCTGTGTTCATAAGTTTCTCAGGAGCATTTTATTCAGATTTTCGTGTAATTTTCGTGTGATGATATGCCTTATGCCAATTTAGCATTAATGTTGCGAGGTAATCGTATATTCATCTGTTCGGTCCCATCGCCAACCAACATGGCCATACTCTTATCATTGGATAGAGATTGCAAACGCATGAGCGAACACCATTTACATAAATGATCTGCCCAGACAAAAGATATATATCATGTGTCAGATTTGGTGTGTCAATGTTATTGATTTAACTAGTGAGATATTATTTGACATGCTCACCTTCTTGTTTTTCCTCAGATGTTGTTGCCATTTTGAAAAATTAAAGTTAATTCATTATTAAATATCTATAGGATATAGATTGTTTTAGTAAATACGACGGGGTGTCTGTCTTTTTAGTGTAAACATTCGATCAGGTTTAATAACCAAGTATACAGAAAAAGAAAAAGTTATGAAAGTTTTGTAAATGTTACTTGATATAAGCTTCGTACTTAGAATGAAAATAAGCCAAAAAAGAACAAAGCGATCTTTCTGAAAACAACACTAGAATTTGCCTGTTCTTTCTGCATCTACGGTGGATTGTCACCTTTTATCTCTGTTGACCAGTAAGTCGTTGCTAACTTCTCCAAACGCATGTTCTTTCTTCAAAGAATCTTCCCAAGTGAGTCAAAGTGTAAAGTAATGCTTTTTAATCCTTCCCAAGTATCAAATCTTAATCCAGTTCATCCCACGCTATAATCTTCTCAAAGTCGATTTGGAACCACAAAGAGAAAACAGATTTCCTGATGTGCATTGATATGGCGAGCATGTCAAATAATGGCGTTATCTCACTGGCAAAACACGAGCCTTTATTTACTAGAACTGACACCTGATATATAAAGCATTTGTATCTTCTGTCTGCGCAGGTCTATTATTTATTTAAAAGTGGTACGCTCATGCGTTTCTACGCTCTATGGAATAACAGTGTGTTCATGTTGAATGGCGATTGGACCAAACAAAAGAATATATGATTACCTGGCAACATTAATGGTAAAGTGGCATAAGGTATATCATTATATAGATAATTACTGTAAACTTTTGAAAAGAGGCGAGATAAATTATGTAAAATCGAGTCAACGGCAATTTATTCCCTAATTCTTATCGGGCGAAGAACGATGACCTAATTAGTTGCGTTGAAAAGCAACTTTTTAAATCACTTCCCCACAAGTAAGGCAATAAAGGCACTAAGATGCAGCGAGTTAACGAGTGTGACAGAACATAAAAGGAAAAACATTGAGAGAGAAAAAATAATAAAAGAACAGGAATTCAGAAGACATATGCTAATGATTGACAACGCATTTGCATTTTTGTAGATCAAAGTTGACTGGAAAGCATGAAGCCAGAAGAGAGTTCCACAAGAGAGTTCCACAAGAGAGAAAAAAAAACCTTAACACCAAACTTAAGGTTACATCTATCAATTTCAACAGTAAAGTGATGAGATCTTGGCCGCCAGTTTAGTACCAAGCTTAAATTAATAAAGTCTAGGTTCCATCAAGGAAAGTAATATTTATTTTGTTTTGATACAAAAATGTTACACAAGACCAAACGTGGGGAGATATGGGAAGGTTGATCTTCAATCTGTTTTAAACTAAACCAGCCATGATTACTGATCCAAACATACCACAGTATTCCTTACACTAAAACACATTCTTAGCATTAATAATACAGCCACCATAATACCTCATAGTCTCTATGTAGTATTAACTAGTTCCCATATGTATAATTTTTCAGGGTGTGTTTGTGGTGGGGGTAATATAATAAAATTTGAAAATGAAAACTCGGTGGATATTTACAAAGAATACAATTCATATACAAGAAACTAAACAAAATAGTTTTAGGAACACCCCTAATTCGCCGTTGCTGTTACCATGGAAATTTTTTTTCAATTATTAAAACACGTAAATTTCAGAAATACGTTATTCCAAAAAAAATATTCGCTTGAAGATGGAACAGATCTTACTTTAACTCAATTTAATTCAAATTATTATATTGAAGTTTTCGGCTCTTGTTTTGAAACATGAGACCTCTTATGTCGCAAATTGGAATCATATTTTTAAATAAATAATTATATTTATGCTCTACTTTTGTATCGAGCACTATTTTTTTAAAAATAATAACTAAAATACTAAGGGACTTTGGATTATTTACCTAACCAATTCCTTCCTATTTTCTACATATTTTCACATATATATATATATATATATATAATTGACCCTGCTATTTCTTTTGCGGAAATCACCTGAAGAAAGATAGATTAGATAAAATATTACCTCAATAAACAAAAAGAATGAATTTATTTATTCAAGAAATTCTTGGAGTTTCTACACCTTACTGATAATATATCTGAGACTATGTAACATATTTTGATTAGTCTATTTGGTCTAAAACCGTTTAATAAAGGTCACCCAATTGAAGGCCCACTGAAGGTTGAGGGTTAATAATTTTGTAACTATAATATAAAAGCTTTGGTGCCTCTTGCTTTCCTTCTTCTTGGAAATCCTCTTCCGTAGTTCCAGTCTTTAAGAAAGGCGCCCGATCTGCCTAAACATCGAACGATAAGCCTTCTCTCATTTTATTGACAAAATTAAAATTAAGTAATTAATCGAGTCTAGAAGAAACCTCAACAGAATGCAGAAAGAACTTGACGGCCGTTTCTTCTTATATTTCTTACTCTATAGATGCTGCAATGT